ATTTATTTAAGTAATAAGTGGGTAGGCACTGTGGCCAATGGTAAAGTTAATTTACCACCATGCAGAGTCCGCAAAATGCTCCGGATAGTTGTCCAAGGATGCATTAGACTAGGCCGAGCATACTTTGAACTGCCATCAAATTATAGCTTTAAAAAGTTTTATTACATGGCAGTTGAGAAGTGCATGTGCGAAAATTTCATTAATTTAATGAAGGAAATTTTTGGACATGCAGCAGCACATAGCATGAATTATGGCACCTGGTGTTAGCAGTCGCACCTAAACAATATTATATGGTTTTTGTTAGGAAAAGGGCTTTACTTTCATAAAAAATAATAGCCATTAAATATACTAAGGAAAAATAGCCGAATTTTGCTAAAATATCGATTTCTAATTTATAATTTGATCACTGTATGTATTCCTCGAATCGAAACACGGATTAGAAAATAAGAACTGTTTATGGAGAAAATTACGATCATACACCAATATCACTTAAAACTCGTTCATAGGCATGTCATTTTAATTAGGCTTCCGAATACGGGACAAATACAGGACATTAAAAAATACAGAACATTTGGCGTTCCGTATAAAATAAATAAATTGCCAGGACAATGGGTCAAAAAAGAGGACTGTCCCGTATAATAAAGGACGGATGGTCACCGTAACTATAAGTGACAATACAAGAATATTAATTTTTAAATTAGGGCTTTGAAAAACAATAAAAGTGGTTTAAAAATATTTGTACCAAAAGATCTTCAAGATCTGCTGCCACTTTTTTCCCCGTTTTTTTACGGGTTGCAAAGCTGTCCCATACGAAAACCGGTTTTTACCGTACAATCTGTACACCGTGCAAGGGCTTTGCAAGACTCAGGGAATACCCCTATTGTGTCGAAGTAATGTGATTAGAAGATATCAACAATATTTTCATTAAATGAGCATTTTGGTTAAACCTGCGTATGTATACACATATATTCGAATTTATTTACCCGCACTATTTTATGATTAAATTCTCACAGATTCCTGTTTATTTTTTTTAAGGGCAAACGTAATCCAATTTTTTCTCCCTAAAATTATAAGACTTTTTGATGAAAACCCGAACTTTCTCACAGCTAGTTTATATAGTTTGTAATTATTTAGGCTGTTTCATAGTAGACGTCTGTATAAATAACTTTTTAGGCTAGTTCTAGCTTAGGTAAAGCTGAAAAATGCATCAAATAAGCCTTTTATTAGCGACAGTGGCGTAGCCAGGATTTGGCGAAGGGGGGGCTTAAAAAAATTTGCATCGATAACTTAAAGTTGTGATACACAATGGCTATAGGCAAAACACGAGTTTTTTTTTCAAAATTGTAGATATTTGCTTAGAAAAGAGATAATGGAATGACAATTTTTTTATCGTGAATATAAATGATCATATAATATAGGAAAACTATAGAGAAGTTACAACAACAATAACTTAACCCTCAAAATACCGTTCAAAATGTCACTCTTTTAATTTTGGATTTTGGTTCTCATTCCACTAGAAAACACTATATTTAATACACCATTAGCACTGTTTCTGAAAGATTTCTCTTTATTTTATCTTAAGTCTCGATTCTTGGGACATTGGATGCTGTACCCTAGTGGCCAGATTGGAAAAAGAAAAGCTACCTTTAAACTCTAATAACTCGTAAACTATCAGCTTTCACAAAAAAATATATATAACAATAATGGTTTTACTGGTCGATATCTTTACGAAAGTGCAGCATTTAACCCTTTAATGCAGAGTCTGTCATATATGAAACGCTTTTTAACCCTTTAAAGGCAGAGGCAAAATAGTTCTCAATATGTTTTCAACGTACTTTTTATTTATTTATTTTTATTTTTAATATTTTTATTTTTTTAATTTTATTTTTTAATTTATTTTTTTATTTTTTATTATTTTACTATGGAGAAATTTTCTACGATTAATATCTACGTCAACATGAGAAAAAGCATGTTCAAAAGCATATTGAGAACCTTTTTCCTCTGCCTTGAAAGGGCTAAAAAGCGTTTCATATATGACAGACTCTGCATTAAAGGGTTAAATGCTGCATTCCATTATCTCTTTTCTAAGCGAAGATCTACGATTTTGAAAAAAAACTCGTGTTTTGCCTATAGTGCGTCGCCTGTGGGCATTCTTTCATATATGTATGTATGTGCCATTTCTACCGTTATATATTTTTTGTATACTCGGTTATTCCCTGGGAAATTCATGCTTTATTTAAATTTAAAAAATTAAATTACTACACCATTTTAATTAATTAGTGTAGTCCAGTTTTGTTTTGTAGAAGTTTCGTTAGTATACACTTCAGTTTTTACACATTGAATATATCTGAATATTTATATATTATATATTTACGCGTATCGATTTACATTTATTTATGTACAAGTCTACAAAATCTTATTACTTATAAAGCGATTTTTAATCTTCGTTGCTTAACACACATTTTTTTCAATTACTTCTTGTGTTGCAATCGGCACATCATTATGTACCGCTAACATCGTTAAACCATTCAGCCGCTCCTTAATTGTATAAAAAGAAGGGACAAATAAGATAGCACATTCAACAATTGAGTAGTCCACTTGCAAAGTGCGCTATGTAATTTTTTTTTAGATTTTTAGTTTTTCTATATTCTGAAAAAAATAGCATGAAATTTTAACTACTCTTGCAAAAATCGCTATAATACTTTTTTATACACTTTCAAATGTCTCCTCTTCGTATGAACTTAGAAAACTGCAAGAAAACGTGGTAGTTTCGGTGCCTAGTGGAAGAGGTCGCAAAAAAGAAGCAGACCAATCTTCCTAGAGGAGAGAAAGCGAAAAGCTAAAAAAAGCTAGCTATGTAAAAGTTACTGTTCCAAAACTTGCAATATTAAATTTTTAAATATAAAATTTGCAAATCTACCATACTGCAATTTTATTTTTTTTTAATGGTATTAGGCTCTTATTTATCCAAATTTTCAGGTAATAAAAAAAGATATAGTTCGGATGTTACTTGTTGTCGTAGACGTTTTTTTTTAATTTATGGTTTACTTTTATAAAATCACATAACGCTGTTTGCAAGTGGACTTCTCATATATTCATTAAAAGATAATTTGTCATCCGTCTGAAATAAAAAAAATTTAAATCAGAGGAATAAAATAGTATTGTGTTATTAATTCAAAAGTAAATAATTGTAGTTCAAGGGGGCGGATATATCCCCCCAAATCCCCACCCCCCTGGCTACGCCACTGATTAGCGACACAAAAATGAACGAACTTATATTAATACAAATCTAAGAAAAAACTTACTTTAAATAAATAATTAATGTGTCTTTCAAATAAAATCAAAATGTTCATCACTGAAACCATTTTTTCGATTTTGACTAAACTTAGCTGACGTTTAAGTCAAATATCTTTCGAACCAACGTAGACAGAGCAAAATCGAAATCAAATTTGGAAAATTCAGATTTTTTTTTTTTTTTAGGTCTTTATCACAATATCACAATTATAAATATTTCATAAAATTTGTTTATATGTATGTATTTGTACCTATTTTTATCACTCACACCCCTAACAAAGTGCACCGTGCAGCGTCTCCTACACCAGAAACAGAATTCTTAAGGGGATGAGGAACTTGATTTTGGATGGGATCGCGGAGGGTGTCGCCACAGAACTGAAGTGTCTGGGACTTATACTGGCTACAATGCTATCATAGCGCAAATGGTGTGTAAAGGTGTAGCGGGAAAATCCTGCGGATGCACTCCAAGGATCCTGAGATCGATGTACTACGTTGGTCGTACGATATACATATGGGCTTCCAAGACTACTCGAATAAAGGTTAGGCAAACTCTCATCAACATTCAAAATCTGAAGGTAATTCTGGAACTCGAGCCACTGCATCTATCAATTAAACAGGCTGCAAAACGAATTCTCCTAAACCCCGCGAGAGGGTGCTTTGGAAAAGTGAAGGTCTTATCATCTAGGAACAGGGACAAGCTGGTCTCCCAGCTCCCTCTAGTTTTGCAGAAAATACAAAAGTATACTTGGTTGTAGTACATGTCAAGTATGGCATACCGTCTCATGATGTATAGACGGGTGTGCACACCAAATTCTAGGTCTGCATACACGTACATATGAAGAAAATTGATATGTTTCAATTTTTCTGCTCGTTGTTGCGGCAGATATGAACGTTTATAGCGTGAAATGCGTGCAGAATTTCATGCTTTATAGAAAATGGTTCTATCTTTAACAAAAACCACGTGCATAAAAGTTCAAAGCTTGCACAGAGTTCACAAAAATCAAACTAATCGAACTTCAAAAAATGTTCATCAAAATTTAAATTTTTTTATTCGATTTCTTAGAAACAGTATGAGTATGCAGTTTTGTTGCTGATTCAACTTTGGTTTAATAAAGTGAAGGTTGCAAGTGCATATACCATAGATATAAAGCTTGTTCATAGGAATGTCATTTTAATGAGCTGTTAAGGTGTGGAACTCCGAATACGGAACAAATACAGGACATTAAAAGAAATACAGAACTATTGGTGGCCGTATAAAATAAATAAATTGCCAGGACAATGCGTCAAAAAAGAGGACTATCCCGTATAATACAGGACGGATGGTCACCGTATTTATAGTAAAATAAGGCACGACTCTCACCTTTTGTAAAGTGCACAAATGAGTGCAAATTGAAAAATAAATAATAATTATTGAATATTTAATTAAAAATATCCTTGCAGGATTTTTTCAGCCAATGCACTCGAAAATTATTTCCTACCACGTTAAATTTCGTACAAAATGGATTTCATCCATTAAACAGATGGGTGAAAGTCGTGCCTTATTCCGATCTTAGACTACTAAGTTTTCTCTGAGGCCTTGTTCTCGTAAACATTTCCATGTAAGAGTATTTATGATTTTGTATTAACAATTCTATATATATGTACATAAATTTGTCAATATGTTCACATTAATGTATGTAAATATGCAAAGAATTTAAGGAACTTACCTCTCATTATAGGAGAAAAATCGAATACTTTGATACTTCCACGACTTGAGAACTGTCCCAGCAGCATTTCCATATAATAAACTGGTTTTCCAACTAAAAATAATACTATAATATAGGGAATGACGAATGCACCTCCGCCGTTTTCAAGTGCAGTGAAGGGAAAACGCCAAACGTTGCCTAAACCCACGGAAAGTGCAATGCAAGACATGAGGAACTCAATGTCATTTGTCCAGGTATCTCGGTTTTTACCCACAGTTTCGGCAGTGGCAGAGTGGTTGCGAAGCTGGTGTGTGTCCCGCGTTTTCTATGTAAATTTAATAAGATATACAAATTCAATAGCAAATAAGTTTGTAAATGGTATGCACCTATGTACATTAGGGTGGCTCAACATTTTTTTCCTCCAGTCACACCCCTAACAGAAGAATATCAAAAATAAGGAGGCACATTTTTTTATTATTTTAAAATCGATTAAGACTTACCCGCGCAGCCGGGGCTTTGAAATTTCCCATGTACTTTCTTGGGGAAAATACATTTTTTCGTAGAGTTGCTATAAAATCGTTAGAAATAAATATTTTTTGATCGAATAAGACTATTTCACTTCAGAAGTCTTAAAAAAAGAACTGTGTGCTTATTTAACTTAAAAATTTTTCTGGGTGTATTTTAATAACCGATCTGTTATATACAAAAATTTGTTATTTTAGGTTTTTATAACCACATCACCCAGGAACAGCTCAATGAATGTATTTACTTTTTCATTCTTCGCGATTATTTCTCCATTTGATACCCATATTGTGGTATAAAATAAGCTTACATTTTTAATAACCGTTGCTGTATTTTTTAGAAAGGCGGCAACCCCGTACAAAAATGTTTTTAACCTCGTTGAAACGCTTTTAGTATTGATGAATAAACTTAATTATTTTATTGAACCTTTAAATAATTTCCGATTTTCAAATATCTGGCAACCCTGTTAATTTTTTTTGCCGCTACCACAGAAATAATCGAGTAGATTGAAAAAAAGTAAACACATCCGTTGAGCTGTTCGTGCGTAATCAAAAACATTGATTTTCCTATGTTTGTTTGGTCCACCCTAATGTACATACATATGCATGTATGTATATATGCATGAAAGCTTTTGAATAGTCATCGAAAACCGAAAATATGAACTTTTTAAGAAACTGTACATGATAAGCTCGTAATTTATGAATTTTTTACCAAATATTTTTGTGTACGCGATTTACAAATGCATTGGATTACTGAATAATCATAAAACCATTATCAAATCATACAATTTTTTTTTGGCTGCCCGTGAAAAGTAGCTGAATCGAAGGAATTACAAAAATAAATATCTCCTTTATATGGGAAGTGAGCACCGAGTTTGGTAGAGTTATCTCAATTTAGACCTCAACGGTTAGTATTTGTTGAGTAAAATTTTGTTAATCAATTTGCTTAGTGGGCTGTGTTGCCGTTTTTGGGTGTTTCTTAACAAAGCCCGTAGGATGTTTCCTATTGGTAGGTTGGTAGTTCTACATAAAATAATTAGTATCGCCCAGTTGTCGAAATTCGACATCTTTTTTCATACACTTTTGTAATTTACCTGTCACCATTACTAACTCCTTTATGCGAATTTCTATTTTGAAGTCCACCAGCATAATTTATAGCGAATTTACAGGAAAACTTAAAATCGAATTATGAACATTAACACCGGATTAACTAATGCTAATTCTACCAAGTCTCCTCTAGGGACAAAACGCTACTACTAAATACAAGTACATGCTCGATACTTTTCGCCCAATACAAAGTAATTTTGGTACCGATACTTTTAAACCGAGTACTGAGTAGGTATCGGAAGAAAGTACTTGTATTGAAACCTGATTCAGTAACAATTTTATTCCCGCTCTATTATTTCTTAATCTAATTATTATTGTGAATATGTAAGGTTTTTTGTAAGTTTAGCTGTCAATGAAAAGAAAGTGTCATCAGAATCGTTAACGGTTGAGAAAGTATCTTTGTAAACCAAGATAATATTTCACTCTGTAACGGCGGTTTCACACGGGCTTTTGTAAAGACTAGGCCAAAGCCCAATATTTTTCCATCATACGACTGGGCTACCAAATTACACCAAATTATATGTTAATAATATGTGTTCTAAAAGTGAAACAAATCTAATCATACATATGATTTTCTAAGATAGCTCTCAATCCCTGCGCCACCTATCGGAAGACAAACACACGGATCCTTCTAAAAACTTTTGCAAAAAACAACAAAAATTCAATGCGATTTTAAAATCTGGGAGAAAATGATCCCCAATTCAATGATTTTTGCGTTTTTATATGTGTATAAATGTAGGTGTATAAAATTCCATTACCTTATAATAAGTGGTTCCAGAGATAACCGATATGAGAATTTCAGTTTTTATGGGCAGTGCCACATCCCCTTTTCCAAAATCTACGACTATTCGCCATAAGTACGGCATTGACAACATATTTTGCTGTGTCAAATTTCGGGACGTTAGCATAAGAGGTTCCAGAGATAATCGATATGAGACTTTCAATTTGTATGGGAAGTGCCACGCCCACTTTCC